AAAACTTGGTCTTAAAGGTGTCACTGGATTGTTTTGGATTGCTAGCTATTGTGGGGGGGAATGTGCAGATCTGTCCTCACAGAGGAGGGAGAGCTTGTACCTGAATAAAACTTGGTCTTAAAGGTGTCACTGGACTGTTTTGGACCGGGGGGCCGGGAGTGTGTGCAGCTTACCTGGCTGCTTCTTGCTCTGACTGAGGGCTGCTGGGAGCAGGGGGTGGGGCTAGCTGCATGTGTCCGCCCCCTGGGCTCTTTGTTGCTGGAGCTCCGCCCTTGTGCACTCCTGCAGGAAATTACCCCTGGAGACCACCAAGTAAGTTCAGGCTTGCTATGCAGAAGAAGGCAATGGCCGTCCTCTGCTCATCTCCAGCCTTGAGTGATAGCATACAACAGCCATGACTTTGGAAACCAGCCTTATGAATGAACCCATGAAGCTGCCGTACGCTGAGTCAGCCCATTGGTCTATCAAGGACAGTACTGTCTACTCTGAGTAGCCGTAGTTCTTCAGGCTCTGAGGCAGAGGTCTTCCACATCACCTGCTTTTTCAATTAGAGATGCCAGGGACTGAACCTGGGTCCTTCTGTATGTAAAGCACATGCTCTACTACTGAACACCAGTCGCTACCTAAATGATCTTTCCTAAGCATGGAGTGGGGATGGGGTGCCAGGCTACAAAGGGCCTGGCAAAATAGTTGCCGCATTGGCACTTCTGCACCAATGCAATGGACACGCAGGGACAGCAGTGAGTGGCACCAAGAGGGTTATCACCCTCCAGGCTGGATTTCTCCTGGAATTACAACTGAGAAATGGCAGCTGGAGGAAACGGCAGCTTCAGAGGGCAGATTCTCTGGCACCACATGCCTGTTGAGCTCCCTCTCATCCCCAAGTGCCACCCTCCTTATGTGCCACCTCCAAGCTGGAGTTGGCAGCCCTCTATGTGGAAGTCATCCCCAAGCAGATCCACTTTGTTCACTGCTGCTTCCACAGCAGAGGAGGCTTTTCCCATCCCCTTGTAGGAAGTACCAGTGCCTAAAGACAAGGACCAGAGACGGAGGGGAAATAGAAATCAGGGGTGGACTTACCGTCGGATTTCCTCCTTAGTGAGAAATGTTAGCACCTGTATGAATGAAAGAGACATTTATTTATTTATTTATTTATTTATTTTTATTTATTTATTTGGGTATTTCTACCCGCCCTACCCCGCAAGCGGGCTCAGGGCGGCTTACAAGGGGCGTGAGCCCATATATAAAACCAATAAAACCATAACATTTATAACCAACAGTACAGTTTAACAATAAACAATAAAGTGCTTCTATTTAACAAGATGGTCTTAGTTGTTTTAATAATGACTTCCAGCAACCCCCAGTTTGGGGTGTCGCTGTCCACTAGAAAGTGCGAACTCGTCCGTTGTTCTCGTCGCCATATAGTTCTTATACCTCCAATTTACTCGGGGCACTCCTGACCCTGATGGTATTACCACCGTTGGTAGTGGTGGTAGTAGCGGCGGCCCCTACGTAAAAGCCTGGTGGAAGAGCTCCGTCTTGCAGGCCCTGCGGAACTGCATAAGGTCCCGCAGGGCCCTGATCTCATCCGGGAGCTCGTTCCACCAGGTAGGGGCCGCCACTGAAAAGGATCTAGCCCTCGTCGCAGCGAACTTTACCTCTCGGGGGCCCGGAACCACTAACCGGTTCTGGGTCTCCGACCGAAGTGCTCTTGGGGGTATGTACGGGGAAAGGCGGTCCCTCAGGTAGGTCGGACCCAGGCCATATAGGGCTTTATAGGTAAGTACCAGCACTTTAAAGTGGACTCGGTATGCTATAGGCAGCCAGTGCAGCGCCTTCAACCCAGGCTTGATGTGTTCCCACCTGGGGAGGCCCA